GCCACCCTCTTTCCCAGGCTTGCCTTGGAGTTATGACAAATGGCAGCTAATATTTGACCTTCATGGAAATTTCTATATTTCTTATTAATTAAAGATATAATAACAGACACTAAATTGTGTCTTATCCAAAATCTGAATTTTCTGAAAGTTAAGACTTATGTTTGAGTCCTATTTTCTCTAGAGAATGCATTTTGAAATAGTAGATTAATAAAGAACGTGTGGTTGAAAAATAAGGAAAATAATTTGAGTTTGCATTCAATATTATTATATTGAAGAATGTGTGGTTGAAAAAAAGAGAGAAAAAAATGTATTTTGTAGATATTGGGGATCAAACAAGGGCTTAATATTGTTATTGTGGTCCAGGTTTTACAGATTTTTAAAATATACTTATATGTCAATGAAATTTAACTGGACTTACTGTCTAATATGACAGGAGTGGCACTTGTTGATTGCTCAGCTAGTTCTGAGACTATTGGAGTGCTGAGTCAAGCGGTGGACTTAGGTTGCTGCGTGGTGCTGGCGAATAAGAAGTCTCTGACCTCTTCATTGGTAACAGATTCTTTTACAGCATTAATTCGTTGGTTGCTCAGATATTTACACAAAAAATAATATTTTACTATTGGAGTGCTCAGATTTTTATTTTTCAACTTCCTGTATCATAGATGTGGAACTCCTGTCATCCTCTTTGTTGGCAGTCTGTATTCTAGATATTAAAATTTCTCTTAATTTTGTAGGAGTATTATGACAAGTTGGTCTCACAACCTCGGCGGATTCGATACGAGTCAACTGTAAGTAGATCAATTTTGGATGCCGTTAGCTTAGTCTTACAGATTGGAAAATTGGAAGCAACAAACGTATGACTTAAGTGAAGTTACTGTTTAGTGATAGCAATGGATAATAAGGATCAAATCTCAAATTTGCCACATTCTATCTTTATTCTCAAAGCTAAGAGCTTGTAAGACAATATATATCCGGGAAATGTACAAGTATGCATTAAGTAAATAATACACAAAATTCCCATATTTTATCCTTTAGACTTAAAATTAAAGGTGTATAACCTTGTCTGCAACATTTTGTAATTTGAAAAAGACATAGATTGTGAGCTGGCAACCACTGGTCATTGCACAATTTTATTATTATACATTGATTTTGGTTAGTTCATTCTGGTTCTGAATTTTCTTGTGTTAGGATAAGGCTTGTCTTCTCGTAATTACTCAGAGAAGGTTTTCTGGTAAAAAAAAAAAAAAAGAAAAAGAGAGAAGAAAAATATTAGCATTCAAGAGATAATGGCTGAAATAAGTTTATCTAGTATAATGCTCTAACTTACATTTTCCAGAATTATGGTTAACTATGCTAGAATTTCCACCTTTTTTTGTATAACGTGGTAGGTCGGTGCTGGCCTCCCCGTGATAGCATCTATAAATCGTATGCTTTCATCTGGAGATCCTATATACCGTATTGTTGGAAGTCTGAGTGGTACCTATTTTTAACTCCATCTTTTTCTTTACCTCGACCTTCTTCTTCCAACTTGTTGAGATCTTCGAAATTTACTGAACGTGATGATAAACTTGTCTTGTGGTCCTATGACTATTAGGTACTTTAGGTTATGTGATGAGCGAGGTAGAAGGCGGAAAACCTTTCAGCCAAGTTGTCAATGCTGCTAAAAGCCTTGGATACACTGAACCTGGTAATACAATGCTGCAATCTAGTAAATTACTAAAAAATTATTATTTGATTTTTAGTATTCTTTTTATATACAAGTAATTTTGTAACCATAAATCACAATACATGAACTCCAATTCTCTGTTGTGCATGCTGCAGGATATGATTAAGAATTAGTTTTTCTTCCAATTGTTTTTATGTAGTAATGGGCAAACTTTTGACAAAAGAGACAGGCTATTTGTGCCCTATCCTGTAAAGGAAGTTGAGGGCCTTATCTCATCTTCTGATGAATTAATGTTGAAAATGCATAATTGTTATGACCAGTTTATCCATTTTTAAGCGACTTATCCAAAGCAAATATAGCCTCTAAAATGAATTGCTGCTCTTGCTTCTATTAATTTATGTTGAGATTGATTGATATGGTATCATGGTTAGTTTGTTAGAAATCTTGTATATAAAGACTCAGTGGTCTTACCTCTTCTATGTCATATTATCTTTCTAGAAATGTGATTTTAGTTCTGACTTTATAAGGCCCTATGAAAAGCTGTTCTTTCTCTTTGATCCATATCTCACTTTTGGCAATCCAAAAGCTAATTCAGAGAAATAAATATTATGAAATGTTATTAGATTGCAAATGGATATTTGTCCACTAAACTGCATAAGATGGCAAAATTATTCATAGTAAAGACGGGGTGCTATTTAATCCTTGATTACACGATAAGATTTAATTTGTTGCACAGCATTTAAAACAATGTGAATGTGGCAATTATACTTCTTTATTCTGCTTTGGTTAAATGATGTCTTCTTAAAGAAAATGTGTATTTGCATTCGTCAGAAGGTTGATCCTAAGGTCTGAAGCCATAAAAGGTTTTGAGGTAATGGATTGGTGAAAATGATTCAGTTAGCTGACCCTAAATTCATTTAGTGAAAAATGATCCAGACTTACTTTATTGTTGATCTTGTTGTCATGAATAACAAATGAAATTCAAGACATGATTGGACCAGAAAAAATATTAAACTAATTAGTGAGGGCAGTTCTATATTTGACCTTTGGACTTTAGAAGGTTTATAATACGCACAAAAATTGTACAAGAAGCAAAATGCACCAAGTCCCTGAATTGGTAATTGGTATATTCTGCATAGTTTGTGGTTCTTGTAAAAATTTGGAGAATATGGATGATTCTTATATTGAGTTTAATTTTTGCTCTCAGATCCTCGAGATGATCTTAGTGGGACAGATGTAGCAAGGAAGGTCTGGATACTCTCTGCATTTTTCTAATATTTGTTTAATTCAATAAGATAGTGTGGAAAAGTTCTCATTATTGATTACAAAAATGACTCAAAAATGCATGATGCTGATCCTTACAAAGAAGCTTTTGTATTGTTACCCTGACCATTCATACACCAAACTGGACAATAGCTCTACTTTGTTAGAGCTTATCAGGTAATCTCACCCAAAGGGGTTGACTACTTTAAAGATCCATCAAGTCTGCGGAAGTTTGGTATGTTCTGGACCATCAGAAGATATCATGATGATGTTGAGTGATCCTCGCTAGCAACATCTCATACATATTTGTACTTTGTTCCTTTTATATTGTTTGTAATGGTTGGTATCTTCTTCAGCCAAGATTAACTAAAATAGTTGGATGATTTACAAGTCAGTTATTGCACTTCAGATTCTGAGTTGATTGTTTCTGTTCACTGTGATAACGATACTCTTCTATTTTGTATTCCTTTGCTGGCATTTCTTTGTATATATTATGATGCTAGTTGCAAGAAATTTGTCAGCATGTAGATTATGATTTATTGAGGGTTTCTTTTCATATTTCCGAAACAGGCTCTGATCCTTGCTCGACTTCTTGGACATCGTATCAACTTGGACACCATTAAGGTTAGAACTTTTAGTATGTGTCATCATATCTCATCCTTCGTTGAATAGTTGAAGTATATTTAAAGATGGAAATTCTGCTAGATTGAAAGCTTGTACCCTGTAGAAATGGGACCTGATGTAATGCCTGTGGAAGACTTTTTGGTGAATGGCCTTCCCTTGCTTGATAAAGACATCCAAAATCGTATCAATAAGGCTTCGTTAAATGGAAAAGTTCTGCGTTATGTCTGTTTGATTGAGGACTCCAGGTATTTCATTGCTTCTTGTCTACACATTGTTATTTGTACTCTCAGCTAAATGAAGTCTTTAATGAATCTCACGAACCTTGATTCAGGAAGATCTTTGTGTGTCGTCGTTTGGCCAGATTTAAAAAGTAATCGCTGTTATTTGTTGAAGTTCACACTTTATCTGCTCTTCATTATGGCTTCATCTGGTTTTAATATTCATTCTATCTTATGTTATTAGTACATGTATTTCTCACTGAAAAAGTTCTAAAAGAGCAGCTAAATGAAGTCTTTAATGAATCTCACGAACCTTGATTCAGGAAGATCTTTGTGTGTCGTCGTTTGGCCAGATTTAAAAAGTAAATCGCTGTTATTTGTTGAAGTTCACACTTTATCTGCTCTTCATTATGGCTTCATCTGGTTTTAATATTCATTCTATCTTATGTTATTAGTACATGTATTTCTCACTGAAAAAGTTCTAAAAGAGCACACAGTTTGTTCCAAAGCACGCTGTTGTTCTATTTTGACTTGATATTAAACCAATCTCATCATCTAACACAGCTTTTCACCTCTTGCTAGGTGTGAAGTTGGCATACAAGAACTTCCAAGAGATTCGGCTCTGGGAAGATTAAGGGGAAGTGATAATGTGGTAAGAATTTTTCTTTCAGCCTTATTTTTTGCACTTTCTTCAGCTTCCACTCTCCAATTCCTCTTATGCTGACCTCCCAATCTCTATCACGAAGATTGATACTGCATGTAAAATCATCTTCCTTTTATACTAGGCAAAAGTTTGTTATTATGACATATGTAATGAAAAGTCAGTCAAGGCATGCTAAGAAGTGGACTAACTTCATATAGGAATTTGATATTCGACTAGAAGAATCAACCAACCTCTTAGGACACTAGGATATGCAACCAATAAAAGAAATAAAGTGTTAGTGGAATGATTCTGTAGCCCCATCTAGATTGCTGAACTGAGCCATGAATTAGTTGAGAGAGCCGGGAAGAGAAGTCCAATCTCATAGATGCCGTCCTATTCATTGTCAGCAACCTCACTAATGGGAGAAATCTTCAGGCATTGTATGCATCTCGATCTTAATAGCTTGTTCATGCATCCATATCTGTTTTCTAGTTTTTGAAGGAATTAATATTTTGGGACTAACACTTTTCGTCAATTTTTGTTTAATATTTACTGTTGAATAAACCTGCAGTTGGAGATTTACAGCCGTTGCTATAAGACACAACCGTTGGTCATTCAAGGTGCTGGAGCAGGAAATGATACTACGGCAGCTGGTGTCCTTGCCGATATCCTTGATATTCAGGATCTATTTTCCTGATTACACGTCGGATAAGGGGAATTAATCAGCATTGGCCAGCATTAAATAAATTAAAATTTTGGTCGTTCTACTTTTCAATATGATTTAGTAGCATGTACCAAACATGCACTATGGACTGAAAACTCAATTCGCAGAAACTTGAGCAAAAGTTTGGGTATGATTTAATCACGTTTTGAGTGAAGTAATGAGGCTTGAACTATAGAAGAATGGTGCTACAATGCCAGATTATAGGAATAAGTGAGATTCAAGGCTGTATTATTAAATTTATGTTTTATATATATCAGATTATCGGAAAATTAAGTATTTTACACGAATTTGAGCATGTTTGTGGTAGCTTATTTTAAAGATAAGCTCCAAATGTATAGTTTGTGTTGACTTATTCAAGATGTGGGTAGGTCCATGTTAAAAATCAGCTACACATTTGGAGCTTATCTTAAAGGATAAGCCACCTCAAACATGGCCTTAAAAGGTTTCAAGACAAGTTTTTTAATCTTTGGATCGAGATTCTTCACCAAAAATTAGGAAGTGAGATACACTTTAATCTTGAGCTGATTGTTGAATGGAGTTGGAGATAATGTACGTCATATTATTCGACTCCTAATTACAATACATAAAGGATTG